CATAAACAAGATTAGACAGATATAAAGGAGGTTGCAGGAGTGCAACAGACAGCAGGTCATCTGCTTTGGAGCTTGCATATTCTCTTGCTCCAGAAGAAGTCAATTGACTTAGCGTGATTAGGCTTTTCTTTGACCCGCAAACAGTGCCTCTCATTAGGATGCTCATTTGAGCTGCGATTTCAGAGGCAGTAGACTGGCTGGTAATTTGCAACATCTGCCCCTTTTAGGAGCACAGACACATGGCACTTTTGAATCAACTTTTTCTTTCTTGCTCAACAAAGCCCTTTGTTTACTCATGATAGTTACCAGTCATCCATTCCGAATGTGATTTTACATGCACTCTCTGGCACTAATATCAGTTTCCGTTCAACAGCCTCCAACAGCGGCCAAACGTCACAAATGTAACATGCTCCATTTACAACCCCCAAGGCCTGTAAAAAGTTCAGATCAACAGACAACCACGCAAATGTTGCTCAAGTGGGAAACAAATGTAGTATTTTTTCCAGTTATCTATTTAATTTAAATCTGGACTAAAAACAGCAGGGAAAATAGAGAATAAAAATAATAATTAGAAGTTATAAAAATGGAATATGCTTAAGTGATGCAAATCTAGACTGTACAACACATTTAAATCACTCTTTCTTAAAGTAATCAACTTTGCCAGAAAGCTGGTTTATATTCAGCAATTTTTGACTTTTATTTAGGACAGTCTGATTTTGACTGGACACTACTATACTATTTTCTTAGCTGTGGGGGGGAAATGATTTTAAAATCCTTGTTAATTTAATCTGAATTCAGAATAATTGGGAAATTTTTCCCAAGTCATCTCTATAACGAAAGGTGTCCCGTCTTAATGATTTTTGCATGTAGGTTTTAAGCCTTCTTTCTTTTGTTGTTCACAGGTTGTTCTTTGGTAAAAGAAGGTCAGAAGACTTACAAGTCTATACTTTTTATTTTGTACTTGTAATTGCATACTAGAACATTATTACATAGCGTGACAAATGCTGATACTGTCTGTTGTCTTTGCTCTTACCCCAATATTTTTGATGTGATGTAAAATAAAATGATTCCATTTAACTCATCTGTTCCTCCTTCTCCATGTCACTAAGAAACAGAGATGTATTCACACCAAATCACCACGCAGCCCGTACAATCAGGAAGCATCGACAATCCCTTGGTGGGCTGAGTAGGCAGAGCACGGGAAGTATCTCACCACAGAGGATTGGGAAAGCCCCGGTTCTCCGCCTGCAATCCGAGGTAGGAGGACTGTCATCTGCTGAGCATTTACCTTTGATAAAGAGGGGAAGAAAAAGGCGACGTGCTTTATAATGTTCTAAAAACGTACAAGATGCTCGCTTTGTAGACATGCTGGCTGCAAATCTGGCAGTGTCACTTTGGAATGGAAATGAGAGACATTTTAAAGAGGAGCACAACACATAATTTCCCAGTGGGTGAACATGTGGGTGTGCAAATCCAGTTCAGATAATGTAGAAGCTTTAAACTTGGTTCTGACAGTTTATGTGCCCCAGGATATTGGTTTTAAAAAGGGAAACAGAATTGTATCCCATCCTACTTCCTACATCCATTGTTTTATCCTGAAATGTAACCAAGTTACAGTATGTATCTATGTTCTTTAAAAGTTTGGAGTAATTAAATATGAAAATAATTTGGATGTGCATAAACTAAGTGTTAGGCAGTCATTGAGTAATTAAGGAAATGTATGATATGCCCAAATAATAATAATAATACTAATAATTCCTCTACTGCTACTACTAATGGTTTCACTTTATATTAGGTGTCTTTAACTTAAACTGAAAATTAATCGGTTGGTACAATGTACTTATTGTGCTCATGTTGAATTGCAAAACACTTTTGCATCTGTTAAGGTGGGATGCAGTTAAGGTTAGAGACAAGTTTTGTTGAATGGTTAAGTTTAGGGGTGGGTGGTAGGGTCGACAATGTAATTATCGATGTGAATATGGAAATTAATTTAAAGCTGTAATTATTACCTTAAAGAGCCATTTACACTTGATTCAATCTATAAAAAATAGTTTTGTTGGTATGAATTAATGTATATAGGTTGATTCAGTGATGTTAAATAATATTTTTGACTTGAATAAAACCGGTTCATTTAGATGTCATAATTTTCAGGTTACCATCTTTTTCAGTGTAACTACATGCAAGCGTTTCTTAAATATGACTACAATGCAAAAAACAGATTTAACATATACAAATTAGTTGGTATAAATGAATGTATATAGGTTGGTTCATTGAACTTGAATAAAATCAGCTAATTTAGTTGTTAACATTTTTAGGTCACCGCTTTTTTGCAGTGCACTTAATATAAAGAAAGTCCTAAACTCTTTAAAAATACAATTCTCTGCAAGTCACAATCCAGCTCCTTCATAGCAGTGACAGTCAGTCATTTATTCTGTGCAATGGCTTGAAACCTACAAAGCTGCATCTCTCCACTTGCCCATCGGCAAACCTGTCATCACGCGCCCATCCGCTTGCGTGCAACACACCCGGAGCTCCCACAGAATGCTCTGCATCCCAGGACAAGCTCCACTGTTGAGCATTAGTCCCCTGTGCATGAGTCTCTGGCTCCATCTGATGACCTTCTAACTGTCTTCAGCAGGCAGTGGGTTTGGATAATGAGGGGATTGATAAGAGGGCTCTCTTCCTGTGGGCGATGGGGGGAGAAAGGGGAGCCAGTGGGGTGGAGGGAGCAATACTTGCCCCATGTGTCTCTGTTGAATTGTGGGAAAAAGGAGTGAAGTGATTCCCCTACAGGCTGTATCAGATTTCCCCTGAGAGGATCATGCTGCTCAAATAATGTAAGCCCCTGGCAAACACAGAGAACCTTTTCACTCCTATGTTTTTGTTTATGCTTATGAATGTGTGCAAGGAGGTGTCCATGGCCATTATCATCTGAAAGTATGGCATCAAGCATTTAGCTAACACAAATACATACTTTGTTTCCTTCTACCGTGAATTGATGTTCCTGCTAGAGTGTGGAAAGTTTACACAAGAGAAGAGATCAATGGTAAAAAATGGCTTCCATATTGAGGGTGGATGGAGAAGAAGGAAAACACGTGTGGCTTCCTCCCCTATGTCAAGTGACACCATTAGCTTGACATTTTCCTCAGTGCCCACAAACAGGAAATATGTGTGGCATTTATTGAACAGACACACAGTCTATGACAGCTGATGGCCGTCCCAAAGGACCAAAACCGGTAGAAGGTTCAACAGCTCATCATCAACTGCCCTTTGAGTAATTAGACAATTGGAAGGGGTCTGACATAAACCAATACTTATACTCGGGTCCCACAGGTGGCTTTTTGCAGCTGATTTCAGAAAGGAAGCTGCTTTAATGTCATGTTTTTCTTGAGCAAATAAAAGAGTCAAGCTGCTGAGTTCATAACTCTTGGACACAACTTGTTCATTGCACTTAGAGGATGGCTTGCCACTTGATGAGGATGTTTAATTGACTGCATTGAGCTTATTTCACACAGTGTTATCAAAATAATATTTTTAAAAAGTATGATAAGATTATGCAAGAAAATCGATTTCAAAACAATTTAATGCTCCATCTACGAGCTACAAGTTGCATCAAACATCAAACGCTGGATTACTCATTTGTAGGAAACTGAACCCACGTGAACATGCTAATGCATCCATTACTCATAATTCTTTAAAGGTCTATTTTCTCTGCTCTGTTGTTTAATATCAGGGAACAATGTACAGTAATATCTCATTTAATTAGGGATTTAAGCTCTCTAACTACCGGGCATATGGTATTTACTCTGTCATGGCCTTGCACATCAGATGAATATGCATATCCTGGGAGTGTGTAGCTTGTTACCCTAGAACGAATTCTACACAAGTTTAATCCCTGATCTATTATTTACCTCTTGACCAAACATGTGAGTGGGGCTTGTAGGCACTCAGCTTGATCAAAATGACTGCCTTGGGATTTAGGGGCTTCTATTGGTCCAAAGGAGAAGTCTGTCATTTGACTTTCCTCAGCCTTCACTCTTGAGAATCAAGCTCTGTGCGCACTGTAAGGAAAAAAGAAACAAGTCCATAATTAAACATTTATAAGCGCTCTGTTCAGACAGTCTTGGGACACAAGTTTGGGAGATATATAGGAAATCAGTGTCCTCAAACATCTCTAAGCAAAGTATCTTAGTGATATGTGCATGTGTGTGTGCGTTTTGTATAGGGGACTCTCCTTTAAGTGAACTTAAAGTGGGTAAAAGCAGGCCTCAAGAACATTAAGTAAATATTAAAAACAAGGACACAAATCTGATTCTAACACACTGAAAATCATTGATTTACACAGCATTAAAAATGATAGCTCTATTCATTGGTCATAAAATAGTTGAAAAGTTATTGAACAAGTCAGTTCAGGACATTATTATACAGTTATAGAAAACTACGATGAACGCTCCAGCTGTTGGTTTCCTTTTAAAATTAAATTACATTTAAAGTGTGCATTATTGTTATTATTATTATTCAGTTTTCAGTAAATCATTTAAAACATTTTCTTTACAATTTCAGAGTCTCTATATACATGGAAAAAACGAGAAAAGAATAAAAACATTAAATAAATGTTTTGTGTCTCTAGGATTTTTGCACGCGTTTATTATAGTTCTTATCATAACATAACTATTAAAGCTACAGTCTCTCAGGGTTTACACCAACAATAACAAAAAAAACCGCTCTAAGAAAAAAAAACCTCTTAAATATACTTAGGCTACATAAAACTACTAGTAACTAGCATATATTAGCATAGACTACTCTACTTTTAAAGATACATCACTGAACAAACTAGATAATAAACTACCAAATAGCCTATAGCTACTAGAAGATAATTACCCAATTTTACAAGATGATACTATTGTATCAACGATAATGCAGATAATGCACTACCAACTACACTAGACTAAAATATATTACCATGTTCCTTTGGATGTAATGCAGCAGTCAGAGAGAGCTGACTATGCAGAAGAAATAGCCGGGAGTGAGTAAGACAGTCAGTTTTCTCTTCCCGGACAGCCAGATATTTACCCCGCTGCTTCAAACTACCCACCCACTTTAGTCCCGCTTCTGTCCCGCTTCAGTCCCGGTGGAGTGTCTTGTACGAGCGGATCTGGAACAGCGGAACCAGCGCTGGGCTTCTGGATCCACCGAAACAGCTTTTATTTCAACGGGCTTCTTTCGCTTTACAGAGCCCCGGTACATGCGAATGTCGAGAGCGTAGAACTGACTCCCTTTTTTGTATTATCATTATTATCGGTGTTGTTTCTTTCCTTAACGATAAAGGACTGTTGTTGATGTTCCTCTTAATATTATCATCGGTTTGAAACTGAAGGGACAAACATAAAGTTTTGAGTGAGTTTAGAGAGATTTGCGTAAAGAAGAGAAGAGGGAAGAGGAGAGCGTCCCCCCACATGAGGGCGAGATCTGACTGAACTTCATTCTTCCATTCACACAATATGAAGAAATGGTGAGTATGACCGATCAACACACGAACACTTTATAATAACCCTTATCTTTGACATTAACAAACATTATTGTAGTGTATAGCGCTCATTACAATCTTTACGTCACGTAGCTTACACTTAAATAGTCATAGCCTAAATGGCACGAAACGTTTAAATGAACAATAGATTAACTTAAATCTGTTAAACGGTATAGTATTTCTTAATTATTTAGTTTACTGAAGTTTGTCGAACGTGTTAGTCAGGTAGCCTATTTTAATCAGAAAATCTACCGCCTTGAGCATGTTTACAAAATATACAAAAAAAAAGTCAAAGATAAACTGCTTTACCTGGGGATTGCTTTCATCTCACTCTTTCCTTATACTCTTAAGTACACACTATATGAGTGCACAAGCCACTTTTGTATAAAAGCAAATAAAAACATGAATATAGAAATAAATCAAAATGTTAATGGGTAATGTCACAATTGTTAACAATGTAGACAAGGTTAAACTTCATCCATATCATCTGTATTTTTTAACTCAACACAACTATAATAAATACATAGCTATACAATATATAACATGCAATAGTAGAAGTTATAAATAGCCTACTATTAATGTAATATAGAACTAAAATAATTCCCTTAATATCATTAAAAAAATATGGTAAAAAATAAAATGAATAATACGTTATCCATGAAAAAAAAAAACCTTCACCCAAATGGTTATGAATTACAAGATAAAACTGTTTAGCTCTCTCTCTCTCTCTCTTTTTTTAAATACTTTTAAAATAGTTTTAAATGCCAGCAATCATGGTTTATTTTGAATGTCTTATTTGTACATTAATCAGCTGAGCAGAACAATAATGCAACCAAATTAAACTGATTTTAAAAGGATTTCAGATTCCTGTGCAACCTGTTGGTGACAATTACAGTATTTTTTATCATGCTTCTTTTTGTCTTAATGTTTATTGCTTTCGTTTTGCTGAAAAGAGAGAAAGTGATTTACAAGGGCAGGTGAACACTGAGGCATTTCATTCTCAGAGAACACCGAGACAAGGAGGAGATATCGCTGAATATAAACAATTGGGAAAAAAAATCTCATTGTTCCTCTACTTAAGGTTTTATGAGTTTGGCTATTTAAATCATTTTTTTTTTGTTTTTTTTGTTCTAATCTCAGCGGCTGCAGTCAAGAATGCCAATTTGCATTCCAAGAGTGTCATTTGATGACTTTTATCTGCACGGCTCCCCTGACTTGTCTGGACACTTAACATTTCATCTGCTGCATGTCAAGAGTCAAACGCAGTTATGTCCCCTTTCTCTATCTCTATCCTCCTCCCTCTCTCTTTCTCTTACTCTTTCTCTTTGTCTTTCTCAGTCTCATCACCTCTCTTCTTAAAAAAAGAGCATAGGTTGAGGACAGGAGTATGGGAGAAATGAGAGGGTGTGCGAGAGAGAAGGAAGGAGGAGGTAAAATGAAGAGCTGCTTTCATGTTGCAGGCACAGTCTAAGGCTGAACTTGTCAGCTGTGCTGGTGTGATTCTCTAGGGGCCCTGGCAGAGTAAGAGGGTAGATGATGGTTAGACGGTTCAATAAGCGCACGGACAGGTAGCCCTAGTGACGTCCCCCGGAGACATTGTCTTAATGAAGAGCAGGTCCACTTAGCCCTGTGTTTCTGACCCTCTGCCTACTTGCCACACACACATACACTGCTCATTTGATCTTACAGCTCTCTTGAACCGCTCAGTGAGTTGTGTTGGTGACATGTAAAATTGTTGGAGTTTCTAAGTAGAAATCTAGGACTTAATAATAATAATAATAATATTAATAACTATAATACACTGTAAACAATTCATGTGAAATCTAAAGGAATTTACAGTGTTTGTGCACAGGAAATTACTGTATACTAGTTCACAGTAGAATACCGTAGTTTCAGTAAAAATTGCAGTAATGTAAGAAGTACTGTGTCACAGTAACCAGCAATGGCTTGCAGAAAATCACAGTAACTTCCAGTGTATTGTTGAAAACACAATAACTAATTATGTACTGTAGAAAATCACAGTAATTACCAGTGTATTGTAGAAAACACAACAAGTAATTATGTACAGTAGAAAATTACAGTAATCAACAGTGTGCTGTAAAAAAACAACAACAAAAAACACAGTAACATTTTATATCCAGCTTAGTTTTCACAAGAGAGCGGGCACGACTCTTTGTAACTTGAATGTGTTTGGCTTCTGGTGTCTTTCACTTCCAGTTATTTTACCTGTACAAAAACAGCCCATTATACTGCTTCATACAAACTTTTAATTATTATCATATTATTTTAACTTCAGTATCATAATCATAATTCACCCCCCAGAACGTGATTTCACCGTACTGTCATACACTAGGGTTTTCTGAAACCCAGCCACTGGGATAGAGAAGGAAAACAAAGTAGCCTACACTGGCAGCTGGGTTTCCAGCAAATGACTGAATTTAATTTGACCTCACTGTAATTCAATTACATTTTAGGTTTGAATAGAGAATACAGGAAGCAAATGTATTCTTTAATAAAAAAAAAATAAAAAAAATGACCAGAAGGTCATCAAGATTTTATTGTTTTCAACACATCTAGCAATAAGTGAAGAATGATAAATGAAGCTTGTTATAATGATGAGCAGTTAACTGTGACTGTTGATAAATGAATATCTTGCAGCATGCATTATTTATTTAATATTCATTTTTATTTTTATTTTTATTTTTATTTTTATTTTTTATTTGGGCTGAACCAATATAACTAAACAGCAATGGAACCTTTCGGTACCGATAATCTAGTGGTTAATGCACTGACATATAGTGCAACTGTGTCTCTGGCGACCTGTATTCAATTCCTGGCTTAAGGTCCTTTGCCGATCACATTCCCCACCAATCGCTACACTGTCCTGTGTAATAAGCAAAAAAAGGCTTGCACTTGCAAATTAGTGAGTTTTACTTTACAGTTACATGTTTGCTACTGTAAATGAAAACAGCGAAAATATGGTTATTTCTTCTACAGTAAGTTACTTGTCACTAGCTGCCAGTTAATTACTGTAGTTCTTTTCTAAGTTACTTGTCACTTGCTGCCAGTTAATTACTGTGAATTTCACAGTCAGTTTCTTACAGTGTAATAATAATTAGTATTAGGCTACTGTTGTCTTAAGACAAAAATAAAAAAAAACACATACTTGTGAAATCTGTAAATATGGAAAGAACATGGATCAGGGTTTTACTCTGCTGAAACTCATACTGTACACGTCCACACTGATAGACAGACAGCTTTGTTATGTCTGGATGGGGTAGGTAGGTATGACAGGAGGGTCATAACACCTGCCAAACAGTGAGAGTGCCCAGCACTGAGTAGTATTTGTACTCTGTGAAGAAACATTTAAAATTGCTTGTGATGTTTAGTACATTTGTACTGTTACAAACGGCCAGATTTTGTGGCATCTTCTCCTTTGTCCAGCTGTGAATTCTTATAATGGATATTTTACCCTGTAAAAAGTGCTACCTTAAAGAGCTACCTGATTGAACTCATTAAAATTAGATTTGCTGGTATAAAATAATGTTTATAGGTTGATTCAGTGATGTTAAATTATATTTTTGACAAATAAAATCAGTTCATTTAGATGTTACCATTTTCAGGTTACAGCTTTTTTTTCATCAAAATGTGTATTTGTGGATGAATGAACTAAAAAAACAACAACTATGAAATTCAACTAAAACACATTATCATTGAGATTTTAGAAAGATAATTAAAGCCTTATACACTTCATACATTTGGTAAAAAATAACTATGAAACAACTATAATTACACATGCAGATGCAGAGATCATTTTAAATCTGCTTTATATGGCATTTCAGTAATGAAAACATGTTACAATAATTAGGCTTTATGGTTTATTTTTATTGTACTGTGTACAATGCATGATGAATACATAGTCATCAAGAAACATCATACTTTCTAAAAATAAAATACAGTAAAAAACAAACAAAAAAGCGATTTAAATGCAACAAAATACTGTTTTAAGATTATTAAGAACCAGAGAAATCACAGAAATGATGTTATCTCTGTTGTTGCAATTATTTTTTAGGTTTTGTGGTTATGTGCTGGAATGCTCACAGTAAGCATACCAGCATCGGTAAAGTGTCCAACATACACACTTTTTAAATTAAAATAGCATATTTGAATTTTTCCACAACAAGAACACACACTCTTTGTCGAATTGCTGTGATTCATTGCCAAGGGTATTTTGTTGCGGAATAGCTGTAAATGTTGAGGTAAAACAGAAATGCTCAAGTGTGTCAGCTGCTAGAACTGGATTGATGACCTGAGGAAATAATAGTTTAAGGGTAACCTCTGCTCCCTTAAAGAACTAAGACAATAATTCACTTCTATTCGTGGAGTGAACCGAGCTGGGCTGGGGATGTTGTGGATCTACAAGCTAGCACAAAACAGAAGCCTTGCAGTAACTAAAGTACTCAGTGGGGAGGTGTATGATTATTGTGGGTGATTTATTTTTTATATGGCGGTACTACAGAATAAGATGTTTCACATTGTGTCGTACAGAATGTGCTGGAAAAGAGGAAACAATGGGATTTCCAGAAGTGCATTTGTCTCTTAATAAAAAAGAACAGGAATAAACCTGTTTAGCGACCCCAAGAGGTCCAAGGAAAGGTTTGATTAAAAAGTGTCACTTCTGACTGAGCTTGGAGTAGAGCACTGAAAGAAATAAGATATGACAAGATAAGTGGTAGGTCTTAAATAAATCCCCCAGAACTGGACAGCAGCCCATGGGCGAGTGAATGTATGTAGCTGAGTTACTGTATACAGTAAATACAAAAAATGCAAGTGTTCAGACTGGATATGGAACTTCTTTTCAGCTGAGCTAAATAAACAATAATTGTATTATTATATATTTATTGTATTGGTTATTTTTTACCTCACTATATGAGTGAGGAGTAAATTGAGTGAGTTAGTCATGTTTAAGCTCTTAAAATGTTATT